GGGAATTGGGTCGAGGAGGAGGAGTGGGCGCTGCTGCTAGCGCCCTTAGCAGAGCAGAGCTCTCCTTTCCGTCGCCCTCACCATCATCATCGCGCAAGGCCGCAACAGCGGCACTAGAAGCGAACAGTCCTCCATCACTATGGCGTTTGGACCTCAACGAACGAGCCATTCGACGAGCTGCGTCTAGCCGCAGCGCAGCTTCCGCTTCTGATTGTAAAATCGCAAAAGCAGGCGATCCAATGTCTGACTCAACCTTGGCCAGGGATTTGGGATGCAATGAAGCTGATGGGCTGGGCAACGCTGAGTGCGTCGCATTGTAGCTTCTGCGCCCATCTTGGCCCATGGCCGAGCGACCAAAGGCATCGGAGAAAGACAAGCTTTGGGCGCTCAGAGGCGCGCCAGTCCTCATGGCAGCTATCGATTCCATGCTGAGCGGCTGAGCACCTGGCTGCGCACTAGGTCGGGCAGAGCTGCTAGACCTCCGCATACCATGCACAGGTAGCCGCGGGCCTACGGCGTCCAAGGCTGCCTGAAGGGCAGCTGCTCCGCTCAGAGCACCAGCTGAAGCTCGACGAGCCAACGTCCGGGCTCGATCCAGCGTCATCGGCTGGAAGCGCTCAGGGCGTATATCTGCTGGGGAAGCAGGGTATGCCGAGGAAGGCGTTCTGGGCATTTGCCTCGACGCGGGACGCGAGCGCAAAGGCGTCGAGATTAGACCGCGGGTGTGATCACTGCCAAATATCCCGCCATCTCCGTCTGCTTCATCGTATTCTCTTGCCCAGGTACGTGCTGTGAACGGCGCCAAAGGTGGTCGCTTCGCCTTGGAGGACGAAGCGATCTGGTGAGCTTGCCGTAGAAGCGCATCATAAGGCGACTCGGGCGAATGGTGCGAGAAGGAGGAAGTGGAAGAGGGTCGATCAGATGCGCTAGAAGAAGGGGAGAGATCACCGTAATCGACGCTTCCGGATGTGCGCCGATCGATCGTCGAGTCGATGGAACCGGCGGCTTTGTGCATGCTCTGGGATCTCTGCAACCCTTTTCTTCCCGATTTGTCGTTCATCGGCGGGAGAGCAAACGTGTTCCGTTTAGGTGTGGGAGCTTGCGAGGACCAAGCAGCACCTAGTGCGCTCGTGCTGCTCCGCCTATCCTGACCAGCTGGGGTCAGAGGCCCTGCTCTGATAGAGACAGGTCGAGCTTGCGAATGGCGTCGGGCGAATTGCAGTGGATCTGGCGCCTCTCTCGCGGTCCACGAAGGCGTCGAAGAAGCTATGCCGACCGAGCTGCTTCTACGCTGAGACTTGATCCCTGCCAGATCTCCCCTAGTCGCTCCAGGGAACGCCACCGGTGTAACCCCTCCTGGTCGGCCGCGAGGCGTGGTGTTGCCATCTTGAGAATCAATTTTGCGGTCGGCGCTGCTGGTGCCAGTGGCGGAAGGGCTGCGTACATAAGACAGTCGCCGCCCCGGTGCTGAACTAGGTTGATCCCGCGTCAAGCCAGCCGACCTCGGAGCATCCGCTCGGGCTTCGATGCTCAGTCGACGTCGCTCGAATGGAGAGGACGGGGTGCTCTGGGGTAGCATCAGCGGACGTGGTCCGCCTGCGACCACCGACATTGCGCCTCTGGCGTTGGCCAAATTTGGAGGCACCAGAAAGACGAGCTGTGCGGCTCGTCGTAATCGAAACGCAAGGAGGCGAATTGATCTTGGGTTGCTTGACCCGCAGATCCGAGCGAGGATCGCCAAAGGTCAAGTATGGGCAATCTAGGGACAGCACCTTTACCGGAAGCGATGAAGGAGGTATGTGCGCTCAGAGCGTCAAAGGGCGGTCGCTGTATACAGTCAAGGTGTTGGAGGAGCAGAAAGTGAAGTTGTCGGTGACTTTGGCGCCTGTCACAACGAGGCCCGAGCGAAGTTTGACTTTTCGAGGCGTGAGAGCGTTGCTCTTCGCGGCTTGGCACGCCTGAAAGACGGACTGGCGCAGTGGTAGAAAGTGAAGTCGTACAGCACGTTGGCCGCTCGAAATGCCGAACGGGAAATCGATCGTCGAGTGGATAGGAATGTTGTGTGTTACAAGCGAGACAAAGTCGAAACGCCGCGCTGACGGTGTTTACGGCCTAAGCGATGCATGTATCGTGACGATCGTTGGTAGCGTATTCTGAGTGGTAGTAGCGTTAGGGTGGATGGGCAGCCGACAGATGAGATATTGGCTATCCCAGACCATCCATTCGGTCGAGTCGCTGATTGAAACGGAAATGAGCGGTGAGTGAACGCTTCAGCTGAGCTTGCTGACAAGAGCAACGATATACGCGCAGATGTCTAGGCGGTGGCCATTGCGACGACTTTCTCAATTGTGACTGCCGATGCGGCGGTGTCTTGCCGTGCGCGTCTCAGGGAGGAGGCGAGGCGGTGATCATTCACCATTGAGAACAAGTGGATGGCTGCAGGCTATGTGTGTATGTATCCACCCACACCCTACTCCCAATCTTGAATGCCCGGCTCATCAGCACAGCATCGTGGTCACGCTCATGCGGGTTTACAACAGTCTCATCAGCTGCCCACGGTCACAGTCACAGTGTGAGTCATGAGTGCAAGTTGCTCCGATCTGCAGCTGCCAATCAGTTGGGGCCCTACAGCTACACTACAGGCATTCGGAATTTCAACAGAGCTACGAAATCTGTTCAACGTGAATCATCGCCGCGACCAAGTCCATCCATGCATGCATGCATGCCCAGGAGTCAGCCGAGGGCCAGCCGCCTATATTGCACTCACGACTCACTCACTCGCTACAGCTGGGCCGCGAGCTGGGAGCCTAGCTGGTACAGACGACGGGTAGGGTACGCATGAACAGACGAAGCGGTTCTGAGCGGTCTTCGAAGAACTCTCGTCAGCCATCGGCAAAGCAAGCTTCGGGCCGTGTTGTGGTGCGAGGCGTGTCGCGATTTGAGTCGTCGCAACCGGCCCAATTGATTAAGCAGGCACTTAAGGGCAGGCAGGCACCAGACTGCAGCGGAGCCGCTGCTTCTGCTCCTGCTCCTGCTCCTGCATCAGCTATACATGTACACTCAAGACTGTAGCTCCTGCATGCACGCGGTTATTCCCGCGCTACAGTTACTTGATTCTGTCAAAGCCACCACCCAGGCCGCATACACAAGCAGCAGCTGAAGCCGATGTACTCGTGACTGTTGTAGAGGAGGCTTGGGTCATTTGAGCACCGCGCATACAGTATCCGAGACACCAGCCATGGATGCTGCGTCCATGCATGGCTGCCTCTGATCCGCTGATGCCACAGCCCCATCCAAGCCCGATTCTTGGAACAGGATGATCATCATTGTTTCCAACCGCTCCCTCTGACGCGGACCTGACGTGTAAGTCAGCATTCACGATTGCGAGCGCTAAATGTCTATCAGCTAGTGTGATGAGCAAAGAAGAAGGGGGCAGCACGAGAGGCAGGGAAGGGTGCATGCATGATTAAGACGGTGCGACTTGCCCTCAATTCTACTCTACTGCCTGCATACGTCGATCCTTAATTGTCTGTGCAACACAAAATGAGTTGGGACGCGTGCGACCTTTCTGATCAATTGAAGACGGCGAGTCCCCTAGCCGCGATCGAAGAGCACCAATCGATGGAGGGACAGCTGCTTGGTTCGACATGCAAGAAGGGAGACGAGCCCCTTGCATAGGAGCTGTATAGTTGCGCGTGCGTGTACCGCAACGGCTTCAAGAGAAGTTGAACGCACGGGCAAGGAGCTAGGACGTATGGGCTGCGAGGGGGAACAGCGCTCTCCGTACAGCACCACAAAGGAGGATGCGCAGAACCTTTGATGTGAGCTTCGCGCTCCCTCGCTTGCGCTTGGGCGTCCAAAATTGCGAATGGAACGACGAAGTCTGTTGAGATGTGCAAAAGTCCGCCGTCGATCTCGAGTTGGGCAGACAGGCCGGGGCGGCAAGTACAGCAAGCAATCAAGTCACAAATGTCGGTCGAGATGAGCAGCGCAGACTTGTACCCCTTGCAAAATATTCGATTCACGATTGTCATCCCTCGCTGCATCATGAACAGCAGGCCGAGGCCGGTGTTTAGAGGAATGAACGGACCTGAATGAGGCATCAGCCGTGAAGGTTTGCTTGCACTCAGCGGAAAAGTCTCGGCACTCAAAGTCCGGTGCTCATCAGACTCTTCTTAAATTCGTCGGACTGATTCTGTGATTCAATCACGAATCACGAATCCTGCAGCATTCTTGATTGAGGTGTGCCATCTCCTACACATCGATCTCATCGTGGGTCGAGCCGCGAGCGAGCGAGCGCGCAAGCCGCCGACTGCATGGGTCAGAGTTGAATGTCTGCGCAAAGTCGCGAGTCGGAGCCACTCGAGGTCGATCAGTTGCTTCTGACAGAGCGCAATCAAGCGTCGGATGTCCGACATTCTCTGACAATCAAGCTTTCGGTCTCTATGCACAGCAACGTCTAGACGCCATTGCCGAGGCCATCATCATTGCACCTGCGACGACGCGCTCGGCTGAGCTGAATTTTGTGATTCGTGATTGTAGGCGCACGATACGTATAGCCTGGCTGACACAAGCTGCGACACAGCCAGCGGAGCTTCAAGCTTCGACTCGTCGATTGGCACTCAAATCCAGAGCCTCCCGGAGCTCACACGACGACATGAGTGTAGCGCGATCTTAGCGGCAGCACTCTATTCTCGAAGCTTTTGACAGCCCGCCGAGACTGCGATCCTGGAGTACTCTGACTCTGAAATGCCCAAAGCGGGCAAGAGAAGATGGGAACGCCGATGCAGGAGGCCTATGTGGTTTCCAGATGATCAGCTGCCTTGATATCTAGAAGCAGGCGCCGAACGTCTCATGTCTTGGGTCGGATGAGCTCCTTGCCTGTGACTGCCTCACGATCCACCTCGTCGGTCAGTCTTCTCGGAGATCTGCGTGATGTGAGCCATAACAGTAATCGGCTTCTATCGATGGAAGCCATGAATGCTCTTTCTTCCGGATCTGCTGCAACGCTTTCCTCGTATGAAATCAAATATGCTGCGAGCCAAACAACTCTGCGCTGTGAAGGGGCGCTGCCTTATGCTCAGGAGCCAAGCCTCAGATTTGTAGCAGCCTGGCACGACCCTCCCTTTGTGACGTCCTTCACGCGGACTGTACTTCCGACAGAGCAATCAAATGAGCATGAAATGCAAGAAAGCAAGACGAAGAGGGGCCGAGCAGGGTTCCAGAGCTTTCTCGACCTGCTCGTCGCAGCATTCTCAGAAGCTTCTGGTTCGTGATTCTACTCAAGGTCCATCCTTCCAAACATCGCGATGCTGACCTCATCTCCGCAATTAATTGGCCGGCGACATTGCCGCTTAGCGTCCAGCCGGAACTTGGGACCAGACTGAGGATGACATGTATGTATGTTGGTGAGCATACGCACCGTGCTAGCCGCGCGCACCCATGCTCGCGGCAAAGGCATCGGTCGTGCTGAAGCGTTGTGACATGCGTGTCACCGATCG